ATAAACAGAATGGCAGATGGAACATTATAATAAACTACAATAAGGTATTTGATGTCAGGTTTAAAGAACTGTGCTATGCAATTATAATTCAGTACCTACTTATTTAGTAACCACTATTTTAATATACATACAATTTATTGCAACAACCACACTTTGAAGTTTTACACAGAATGAATCAATCCTAAGTAGGAGGCACTCGTATTTCATTTACAAAATTCAAACACAATATAAAAATACTCATTTTATAATACTATTACACTCACTCTGTCTTACACTAAAGGTGAACAATTCAAAGGCTTAGCCCTGTGACCATATGGCTAAACAGGATGGTGACCTTTTTTTTTTTTGTACTTTATTTTTGATAAGATTTTCTAGAATACAACACCAATAGAAAAAAGAGGCAATATAACCCTAATAAAAGGTGCTAATTAACATGTATATATTTGGAGAGAAAAAAAAAGGAAAACAAATAAACAAAATTACAACGAACACAGTGAAAAGCAATTGAAACAGAGAGGTCACCAAGGGAGGGGTATGAAAATACAACACGGAAAAAAATGTAATTATGAACTGTTTTTAGGTGTGTAGGTTACAGAGTATGTAGAGAGCCTTAAAGAGTTAAACAGGTTAGAGTTCCTGTGCAGAATTACCATGTCCTGCCAGACAGTACAGCATCAGACCAAAGAGAATTGGGCTCATAGGGCATCCTTGCCGGCATCGTTGTTCCAGAGGAATTGTGCCTGAAAGGCCTCCATTTATTTTTATCCGTGCTACTGGTGAGCTGTATATTAATTTTAAACAAATTATGACTGTATTAATAAAGCCAAACCGCTGCAGAACTAGATATAAATATTCCCATCGTACAGAATGGAAGGCTTTTCCCGCATTGAAACTGATTGCTAAAGATTTCAGATAATTTCTGCTCATAATGTGAAACAGGTGTAATGCTCACCTCACATTATCCTGTGTACATCTATTTTTGATAAATCCTGTCTGGTCTGTATCAATCAGCTCAGGGATGATATTTTCTAGTCTGTTGACAATTATTGAAGTGAATATTTTATAATCTAGGTTCAAGACCGAAATGGGCCGGTATGGGCTGCACTCACTTGTATCCTTTGCTGGTTTTGGTATAACTGATATTATCGCTTGTTTCCAGGATGGTGGAGTCTCCCCTCCTTTAAGCACATGATTAAAACATTTTAACAGCAAGGGTGTTATAGATCTCCTAAAGATTTTATGCCATTCAGCTGGTAATCCATCTCCTCCTGGCTTTATCAACATCTGCTGCAGTTATATTTGAAGTTATACACTTATTTTGCACATTGCCAATTGAGGGGAGATCCAAAGAGTCTAGAAACTGTTTTACTGAGGGAAGCTCGGTTATTTCAGGCAGAGGCGATTCTAGAGTCTGTGGGGGCCCCAAGCAAAAAAATCCTAGGGGGCCCTACTAACTAGTGTTCATCACCATTATGTTAGGCTATAAATAATCTGACACCAATGAAAAATTTATTAAATAAAACCTTTTTTTATTCCAAATGTTCTAAACATGAACAACCTTGTTATTTTGGAAAATATAAAAGAATAAAAGTAAAGAATAAACTAATAAATTAAAATAAATGTATAATAAAATAAAAAAAACAGTAAATTACTTTAAAAACCCAATATAAACTTTGTACAAAATATAAAGTATAGTAAGTGTAGTGAAATTATTGGGGTCCTATACTGCTTCCAGAATTGCTGCTTACGGGCCTTGGCTTATGCAAATGCAGACACTAAGGCGCCGTCCACACGAAGTCAAAACGAACACGAAACGCTAATATTTTCCAGAACGTTTGTCGTAAAGACGGAGACGTAAAATAAATGTGATCGTCCACACGAATGCATGAAAACGCTGCAAAATGTATGCCAGGCCTGTAAGTGGCGCTGTCGTGCCAAAGCAAAAATAGGCGACGAAATGTTGGGCATGCGCACTAATATTTATACATGGTTGCCCTGCGGGTCCATTTTCGTGGTTCAGTCAAATTCAGGTGCTGAACTATGTCGTCGATATTGCTCTGTTCTTCCTGGAGATATTCCAGAAGAAGAAGATTCTGTTGTAAGCCCGACAGCAGGGTGAGTAGCATTAGCAGCAACCATTCAACACAGTATGGAGTTATTGTTGTTGTGATACTGTGTCGCGCATGCGTGTTTAGAGGCGACGCTATGACGCATGCATGTAAGAAAAAAAATGCGGTTAGAGCTTAAAGATGGAAACGCGAAAACGGCGTTTCAAAATCTTCCCACTCTGAAGGCTGAATAAAAAAAAGATTGTTTACAGACCCCCGAAACGCCGGCTTTGTATGGATGAGAGGCTGGTTTGGTGAAAAATTTGTGCGTTTAGGCCAGGGTTTGACTTCGTGTGGACGGGGCCTAAGTCCTCCAGATCCAAAGACCTTCGCACACTATACTCTATGGAAATAAGCGCCAGTCCTGAAAGTCTCTCTTGAGACATGGAAAATGAATAATTTTCCTTCAGCTTAGTTACATAATTGCTTTCCAATTTACTGAACGATAGGCCTACAACGTCACCCATTCGCTAGGCTACGTTCATTTTCATTAAGGGAAGTCATCCACCTGGGCTGGGCTGGGCTGGATTTTGACTGGGCAAAGCCAATGTCAATCAACATTCCATCCAATCGGAATTTTTAAATGCAGTTGTGCATCTCCTCAGTCACTATGGCGTTGCCACTTCATGCTCGTCTGTTGCTGTTTATCTACCGGGTGTACAGTAGCTGGCTCTCGGGGGCCCCCCAGCGGCTCGGGGCTCCAAGCAGTTGCTTGGTTTGCCTGTTGACAAGGTGCGCCTCTGATTTCAGGTTGACTATATAGGTTCCTGTAGTATATTTAAAATGATTTAAGTATCTCGTCTGGGGAGAAACTAACCTGACTCCGCCAGATGGATTTGCTCCGCATATCCATCTGGAAACCTTCTGTAGAAGTAATTTTGGGAAGGGGCGAAAATACTGGTTAGCTGATTGGCCTACAGTATGTTGTTGATAGACGGGCCAAATAAACCAATCAGATCAATGAAGCATATGACGTAACAGAGCGACGACGAAGAGGAGCCAATTGATAGATCAAACTCTTGCCAAAACCAGTCGGGAAAAGAGCAAAAACATCTTTTCCTCTGAGAAAAGCCTCCAGAGCAGTGTTTTGCTCTTCTTTCAATGAAGAAATATAGTGTAATTACGATAAAACTTGCTTGATAGCCACGGTAACGCTAGTTTCATCGGCTGAAGCCGCCATGTTCTTTAGACTGAACTGTCGCGCTTCTCGTTGCGACCTCAACCCGCCTCAAAGCCAACGCTGATTGGACGTTCGTTTGGTGAATGGCTCCAAATTTTCTTCAACAGAGAGTCTCCAGACTGATTAGTGAGTGAAATTTTGAAAGCTCGCGAGATCAGGATGGTCTCACGAGGCTAGGGAGAAACACATTTGATTGGAAATGGGGTTTTTAATTTTAAAGATGGATCTGTCTGGTTGTTGTTGCTTTAGTCGCCAGGCTAATATTTTTTTTTGCTGTGGGTCCATTTTCGTAGTAGGTTTGTTTAATATAGCCTATTTGTGATTAAGTATCCCTTTGTCATTGAGCTTCCGATTTAGGTCTACTTTTATTGCAGCTATTTGCTGTAGGAGAGCAGGGTCTTTGGTTTCGATATGTTTCTGCTCTAAAATGTTTAATTGTTTAGTCAGGTCATTTCATTGCTCAGATTTTTCTTTTTTCTTCCTTGATGCCCACAATATAATTTTTCCATGCAGTACTGCTTTTGCCGTCTCCCATACTATACTTGGAGACATTTTGCTGCTGTTATTAAAATCTACATATTCTGTAAATTCCTTGTTAATGAATTCCTCAAATTTGTTATCATTTAGCAGAGCTGTGTTAAGTCTCCATATTGTTGTCTTAGGTTGAGAATCTAAATATACTTTCAAATATACCCCAGAGTGATCTGAGACATCCCTAGTACCAATACTACAGTCTAGAACCCTGTGTCTGTCTGCACTGCATAGGAAAAAAAAATAAATTCTTGAATAAACGCCGTGGGGGTGGGAGAAAAAGGTGAACTCCTTGGCCCGCGGATAGCATTCCCTCCAGACATCCAATAAGCCAATCCTTTTAATCATTTTGTTTATATACAGGGATTCTGAGTTGATTTTTTAAAGGATTTGAGGATTCTAGAGAAGGATAGAGTTGTGCATTCCAGTCCCCTCCGCATATCAAAACGCCAAATGTTTCGGTCAGTATAAGGTTAAATATTTTGTCAGTAAATGTTTTGTCATGTCCTGGAGGTCTATATATGTTAAGTAAAGTTATTTCATTTGAGTCTAGTGTTCCCCTCACCAAAACAAACAGCCTTCTTTATCTGTAATTTCTTTGGATACCTGGAAGTCCACAATATTTGCAATTAATATTGCCACACCCCTAGTGTTTCTATTTGAGTTGGAGGAGTAAAATGTATTTTTAAACCCCTTTTTTTTCTTCATGATAATGTTTTGTTAAATGGGTTTCCTGCCAGAAGATAATTTGTTGCTGTTCTCTCTTCATTTTAGCTATGAGTTTTCCTCTTTTAATTGGATTATGTAACCCATGAACATTAATAGTTATAAACTTGTATTGGTGTTGGAGCATAAATCTTTGAGTTGGTAAATCCCTCTAACTTACACAACCAAGGTGACCTTAACAATAAAACATTTATAACAATCAAAAACAAGGAACCTGAAACTTGAAAACATATTAAAGGAACAATTTCCAAAACAAAATGACTAATTAAGGAGTCCTGGATGAAGAGAAAATTCCCCATGAGAATCTTTCCATGGGAGGTCTCTCCCGTGCGAACAGACATAACTCGGTATGAGTGTAAACTCAGTGCACGATCAGAGCCTTTAAGCCGGCTCCCAAAACTACGATCATTTGTATTTTTTTTTTTAACAGTAGGCTAACGTGTTTCTTGTTAACTTTAGTGAAGGTTGAATGGAGAGTTATTGTAGTGATGCCTGACAATGTCCCAGTACAAAAATATTCAGTTCTCAGTCCACACACTAGATCAGATCACTGTAGTTGCTCATCTAACTGCATGAGTTTTACCGGACACACTTTACTTGAAGAAGCAGCTGTGTCTCCAGCATCATGGCGGAATCCACTGAGTTTTTTCGGTGCTCTCTCTCTGTGTGAATCTAAGCTCCGTCGTTTGGCCTTCACCATCGCCCAGGACATTCTCTCTAGTTTCTCCATCGGAGCTTTCATGAAAGAACCATTATTGCTATTGCAATCAGGAGCGAGACCCCTCTTCTGCAGGTCCTTCATGGCATCCTCCGGAGGGGTTTGGAAGCGGAGACCTTTTTCTTTCTTAAGTTTTCTGATAGGGGCGTAGGCTTTCCTCTCCTTTGGGTCTCTGCTGGATAGTCCTGGTCGAAATAAACCCGCCGCTGATTGAGGTGTATCTCTCTTTTCTTCCACGCCGCGCAAAGCACCAAATGCCTGGTTCTGAATGCCACCATGGAGTGGGGGCTCGCACTCTGCTGTGGTTTGGGAGCCAGAGCCCGGTGGCAGTGTTGTATAGCCAGATCGATACCCTGGAGTGACAGCTCAGCCTTAATGAAACCGTCCATGAACTCCAACAAATTGTCTTTCTCTGTATCCTCGGGAATTCCATACACGCGGATGTTATTTCTACGAGAGTGTGCTTCTAAATCAGTCAGTTTGGCTTGAATTTTATTCTGGTTGTTTATAGTTTGAGACAGCACCTCTTTCGCCGCCCCGGTCCATTCCTCCATTTCTGCCAACCGTTTTGACGACTCCTCCCTTCTCTTTTGGTTCTCTTTTATGTCCAAACAGATTTCGTTTAATCTTTCATTAATATCTTCTTGGATGGTGACCTTAAACAAAAGGAAGCACAATAACAGAAATAGTGCACCACAAATCTAATAAAGAGCCAGCAATCTAAAAAGCCACCACAAGGAGTTTGCCATTGCCTTGTCACAAATACATAGGAAATTAGAGAAAGTATAATAAAACATTGAATTTACTCAAACACAGATTAACCTGAATCAAAGAAATTAAAGTAGAGCATTAAGGTGGATTGGCGGCCTAGTGGTTACGACATAGAGCTTGGAATCCTGAGGTTCTGAGTTTTATATGAGGTGCCCCCAGGGACATAAATCAGAATTAACTTGCATATACACATATTAAATTACACTCTTCCATATAATATACTGAAAACCTCACACAAACACTAGTAAAAAGCTCTCACATAAACTAGTGAAAACATTTACCTCTTATATAATCTACTCAAAAGCTCTCATACAAAGTAGTGAGAACTGTTCATATAAACTGGTGAAAAGCTTTACCTTTCATACAGACTACTAGAAAGCTTTCATATACACTATTAAAAAGCTCTCATATACACTACTAGAATGCTCTCATATACACTACTAGAACGCTCTCATATACACTATTAGAACGCTCTCATATACACTACTAGAAAGCTCTCATATACACTGCTAGAAAGCTCTCATATACACTACTAGAAAGCTCTCATATACACTATTAGAACGCTCTCATATACACTACTAGAACGCACTCATATACACTTCTAGAAAGCTCTCATATACACTATTAGAAAGCTCTCATATACAGGTGCTGGTCATAAAATTAGAATATCATGAAAAAGTAGATTGATTTCAGTAATTCCATTTAAAAAGTGAAACTTGTATATTATATTCGTACATTACATACAAACTCATATATTTCAGATGTTTATTTTGTTTAATTTTGATGATTACAAATGACAACAAATGAAAATCTCAAATTCATCATATCAGAAAATTAGAATATTACTGAAGACCAATAAAAACAAAGGATTTATAGAAATGTTGGCCAACTGAAAAGTATGAACATGAAAAGTATGAGCATGTACAGCACTCAGTATTTAGTTGGGCCTCCTTTGGCCTGTATTACTGCAGCAATGCGGCGTGGCATGGAGTCGATCAGTCTGTGGCACTGCTCAGGTGTTATGATAGCCCAGGTTGCTCTAATAGTGGCTTTTAGCTCTTCTGAATTGTTGGGTCTGGTGTATTGCATCTTCTTCTTCACAATACCCCATAGATTTTCTATGGGGTTAAGGTCAGGAGAGTTTGCTGGCCAATTAAGAACAGGGATACCATGGTCCTTCAACCAGGTACTGGTAGCTTTGGCACTGTGTGCAGGTGCCAAGTCCTGTTGGAAAATGAAATCTGCATCTCCAAAAAGTTGGTCAGCTGCAGGAAGCATGAAGTGCTCTAAAACTTCCTGGTATGTGGCTGCGTTGACCCTGGACCTCAGAAAACACAATGGACCAACACCAGCAGATGACATGGCACCCCAAACCATCACTGACTGTGGAAACTTTACACTGGACTTCAAGCAACGTGGATGAAGTGCCTCTCTTCTTTTCCTCCAGACTCTGGGACCTTGATTTCCAAAGGAAATGCAAAATTTACTTTCATCAGAGAACATGACTTTGGACCACTCACCAGCAGTCCAGTCCTGTTTCTCTTTAGCCCAGGCAAGACGCTTCTGACGCTGTCTGTGGTTCAAGAGTGGCTTGACACAAGGAATGCGACAGCAGAAACCCATGTCTTTCATACGTCTGTGTGTGGTGGTTCTTGAAGCACTCACTCCAGCTGCAGTCCACTCTTTGTGAATCTCCCCCACATTTTTGAATGGGTTTTGTTTCACAATCCTCTCCAGGGTGCGGTTATCTCTCTTGCTTGTACACTTTTTTCGACCACATCTTTTCCTTCCCTTCGCCTCTCTATTAATGTGCTTGGACACTGAGCTCTGTGAACAGCCAGCCTCTTTAGCGATGACCTTTTGTGTCTTGCCCTCCTTGTGCAAGGTGTCGATGGTCGTCTTTTGGACAACTGTCAAGTCAGCAGTCTTCCCCATGATTGTGTAGCCTATAGAACTAGACTGAAAGACCATTTAAAGGCTTTTGCAGGTGGTTTGAGTTAATTAGCTGATTAGAGTGTGGCACCAGGGGCCATCAATTTTGAACCTTTTCACAATATTCTAATTTTCTGATATGATGAATTTGAGATTTTCATTTGTTGTCATTTGTAATCATCAAAATTAAACAAAATAAACATCTGAAATATATGAGTTTGTATGTAATGTATGAATATAATATACAAGTTTCACTTTTTAAATGGAATTACTGAAATCAATCTACTTTTTCATGATATTCTAATTTTATGACCAGCACCTGTACACTACTAGAAAGCTCTCATATACACTACTAGAACGCTCTCATATACACTACTAGAAAGCTCTCATACACACTACTAGAACGCTCTCATATACACTACTAGAAAGCTCTCAAACACACTACTGGAAAGCTTTCATACACACTATTAGAAAGCTAAAATATATGGTCCCCCTCCTTTAATTTAGGCAAACATTGCTCAAATATCACCGAATCCAGATGGTTTGTTGTTGATGAAGAGAGGAATAAACACAGTTTAAGATTTGCAGCTAAATTAATTTGTTTCTATATTATGGAACTGCTATCAGGCACTTCCCATCATCTTATATCAGTAATAAAAAATTATAAATACAAATTTGGTATTTGGTGACTTGACTTTTATTTCTGTCAGGCTGAAGTGAAAAAACTTGGAAAGATACTGATTCTCTTGGCGTTTAAAATAACAACACAAAACAGCATAAGAAAACCGCATTTATTTTTTTTATTTTACAATTTTGTAAACAACAGCAGCTGATTAAACTAAATGTCTCAACCTTGTATAATTTTACGACTTTTTTTTAACCAAGAAATGATCCGAAAGGCCTGGGAAATGATCAGATCCGCTTATGTGGCTGCAATGCGCGGCGCGCTCCCGACACAGGTGGAACAGATTTTCACATGGGAACAGAATTTCGCACAACACCGGAAAAGGATCTCTGTTGAAGCAAAAACATACAAAATAAAGTCGAGTAATGCCCATGCTTCTGTGAGTTGTTTAGCAGATAGCTGAGCATGAATCAATATTTTATTTGATACAATTTCGGCCGGAGATAGCACAAAGGGCCGGATTTATCAAGATCCAATTTTGCATATTGCAAAATTTTGCATTTTTCCCATATTGCATATTCATTGCAGAAAAAGTACTAAATGGATAAGAGGCGCTATTTAGCACGTTTTAAAGACCAAATCCTTTTAGCACGCTGTTGATAGATCAGTTTGTACATTTTTTAGCGTGCGCAGTGAAATAGCTCACGTTTTTATACACGCAAACCTTTGATAGATCCGGCCCAAAATGTACGGAGCTAGCCAGAATGACCTCCGTTTAAAACAACTTCCGGTGTAATGATGGTCCTTCCTGTTTCACTGAAACACCTTCCGTTTCAACTGAAATCCGCTGATAGCTTTTCAGTAGTATGTATGAAAGCTTTCTAGCAGTGTATATGAGAGCGTTCTAATAGTGTATATGAGAGCTTTCTAGTAGTGTATATGAGAGCTTTCTAGTAGTGTATATGAGAGCGTTCTAATAGTGTATATGAGAGCTTTCTAGTAGTGTATATGAGAGCTTTCTAGTAGTGTATATGAGAGCGTTCTAGTAGTGTATATGAGAGCTTTTTAATAGTGTATATGAAAGCTTTCTAGTAGTGTGTATGAAAGGTAAAGCTTTTCACCAGTTTATATGAACAGTTCTCACTACTTTGTATGAGAGCTTTTTACTAGTGTTTGTATGAGGTTTTCAGTATATTATATGGAAGAGTGTAATTTAATATGTGTATATGCAAGTTAATTCTGATTTATGTCCCTGGGGGCACCTCATAGTTTTAGCCCCACTCCCACAGACTGCCACTATGGGTCACTGAGCAAAGAACCTTAACCTCAAACTGCTCCTGCGGTGCCGCACAATGGCAGCCCACTGCTCCCCAAGGGGATGGGTTAAATGCAGGGATACATTTCATTGCTTTGTACTGTGACAGTGTAATGAAAAAAAAGCTGGAAAAAAAGGAACAACCGAGGTGACATTACAGAGAGCAGCCGTCAACATTCATGGCTTATGGGTCCACTGCTATATGAATACATCTCACTTGACTATTTTCTTACACTGAAAGATCTTTAAAAAGTAATGCATATTTAATGTAATGTATTTTTAAATACATTACAGTGACAGATATGCATTGTGATTATTCTAGACACATGCTTTTTTTCCCCACATGTAAAAAATATAGACATATCTGTAGGTTTGGAAGTATTTTTCTTTCTCTTAAAAGCTATTCTCTAATGTAAATCAATTGCTTTGAAAACAAAACATACCAAATAAAAAAGTTTAGGTCTACTCTCTATTTTGTAGAATATAAGTAATAAAAGAACATCTAGCAAAATATTTTGAAATAAGACAGCTTCACTGTAATCATGCAAGTGTACAAAGAGATTAAAAGTTGCTCTTTTTTTTAAGTGGAGATGTATGAAAAAATGGGAAAGTAGAATAACCACCAGAGATGGGAAGTAACGAAGTACAAATACTTCGTTACTGTACTCAAGTAGATTTTTCTGATAATTTTACTTTACTTTACTACTTATTTTTATGGGGACTTTTTACTTCTACTCCTTACATTTTTACACAAATATCTGTACTTTCTACTCCTTACATTTTAAAAAATTGGCTCGTTACTTTAGTTTTGAATCATTTCAATGGAGTTACCGTTATTATTTTTCACGTCATCAATACCAAATTCAATCTAATTGAATGGGAATCTACGTTGCATTTGACGCACCACTACAAGATGAATCGACAGATTCGGCGGTATTCATTGGCGGCAAATCATTGCAGCTTGGTGGCGGTGGCGTTAGCATAGTAGCATGGACGACGAGATAATTGAAAATGAACACAACGGAGATCTAGTCCTATTGGCAGACATCTATTTAAAATGTAGGCAACGGCATGAAAAAAGTGGTTTCTACTTTTACTTTTATACTTTAAGTAAATTTACAAGCCTGTACTTTGTTACTTTTACTTGAGTAAAGAAGTTTAATCAGTACTTCCACTTTTACCAGAGTATTTTTTAACACAAGTATCTGTATTTTTACTCAAGTATGGAAAGCGAGTACTTTTGCCATCTCTGGTAACCACACACTACAAGGAGCAACATTGAACAGTGTTACTAATCAATAATAAATATATTACATATTAAATACAGAATATATTGAAAAAAAATGATACACAGATTAAATAAAAAAAAAAAATTTTTTTATTTAAAAAAATTTTAATTAAAAATAAAAATAAAAAAAGCATAGAGATTATAAATACAAAAAGTTTTTTCATTTCTAAAATATAGAATGTGTAGTTGCAATACAATTATCCTCATTTGCAAAAGTTTGAAGAATAATTTGGTAAGGAAATTATGCTTGATCAGATTTGCTTGATCAGTTTTTTATTTTAGGTGACTTCTAATAGCTTTTAAAAAAAAGTTGAGAAAAGGTTGTGATATGTTTTTCTATGGTAACAGAAACAGATTCTCATGTGTGGAAAAAGAGCCATGGTGGGTTTTTTTCGTTTTTTCGTTTAATGTTTCTGCAATACTACCATTGTTGGAGCCTTAAGCATAAAGAGATTCTACCTATGAAAATGAAAGCTCCTCTCAGATAAATAAGAAGGAGGCTGAGGTTTTTGTACAGCTGCTGAACTGACTTCAGTCACTGTGCCTGTCGAGCACAATAATAAACAGCAGAATCTTCTGTTCTCAGGCTGTTCATCTGCAGATACACCTGCTGTTTGCTGTTTTCTCTGGAGATGGTGAACCGGCCTTGGACTGACTGAGAATAATAGGTGGTACCACCACCAACATCGATAAAAGCAAGCCATTCCAGTCCCTTCCCAGGAGCCTGTCTGATCCAATGCATGTAGTAGCTGGTGAATGTGAATCCAGAAGCTGTACAGGTCAGTTTGTGAGACTCTCCTGGTCTTTTAACCACTGGTTCAGATTCTCTCAGAGTCTGACAGTAAATGCCTGTAAAGCAAACAAAGTAATAAAATAAGTATTTTTATTTTCAGTTAATTGATTCACAAAGAAAGATAGAAATTCTGTCACCACTTTCTTACCCGTAAAGCAGATCATAGAAAACAGCAGTCCAGATCTGTAGTCCATTGTGTTTCAGTGTGATTTCTGCTCTCTGACTGATTGTCACATTCACACAAATAAGAATCAGTTATAAAGTTTTGCATTGACTCCACCTTTCAGGGAGGAGAAATTCAAACTCAGAATTATGAGGCAAGCACAGCTCATATAGTTTTGTTTCATAGTGGGATTTTTCATATTTTTATGAAAGGAAGCAATTTGAGATCATACTATTTTGTAATCATAATAATTTCAGTTTTAGTCAAACTAATAAGAAGCCTCATTCTCAACTCCCCTACTCTGCATCATCCATCACATCCACGGGAAAACCTCCAACTCTCATCCCGGCAAACAAAAAACCCTTCGTCTCCTCCAGGAACCTGCACCTCCAGGAAATCTTATGCCCCCCCCCCACCCATGGACTACAACCAAGCAGTACGAAACAGCAGGCTCTCCGACCCCTGATATGGAGTTTACACTTAGAAAATAAACTAAGTCCAGCGCCATACCAGGGTCCCGGATGTTTAAAGCTGTTTAGGGTCTGTTCTCTGCTTTCAGGGACTGATGCAGCTAGGCCTTTAACCCCTTATGCCTATCCATGCCACGGCAATACTTTGAAAAATTCTAGCTCCCTCACACTCTCCTGGGGAGCCCGGGAAAAAGCCAGATTTCTTACCCAGCAAGGGCTCATCTACAAGGGGAAATTCACCCATAATCATCCAAACTTATACACCCTGAGCTGGGCTAAAATGGTCCCAGCTCTGTGGGAGGATTTTTTGACCACAAATGTTCCCACTTTCAAGACCCTGGTACGGTGCTGACACTTAAAAAAAAAAAATCAGACTTATGGGACCCTATATACGGAGCTGACAGTTTATTGAATAAGAATGATGAAACTAATAGTAAAAATAAATACCAATAATAATACTATAAAGTATTAATAATATTAAAATTATTATTGTTAGCATGATTGTTATTACTACTACTATTATTATTATCATTATGATTGATTGATTGATTGATTGATTGATTGATTGATTGATTGATTGATTGATTGATTGATTGATTGATTGATTGATTCGGCTCCATGATCCAAATGTAAGTCAAAACACAACAAAAAAATCTCATTTTTTGTATGTACCTTTTTTGTAAAATGTCCCAAACTGCAAAAAGGCAAAATTCACAATATGTCACATTCAAATCAATGCTTAAGAAAATGGTGTGTGAGGGTAGACGCCTGCTACGCATTGAATTTTGGAAACCAACTGCAAAACGAGCACACACATCTTCAAAAATTGTTTGCACACTTAACTCTTGTATAGCTTTCACAAAATATGGCGAAAATCTGAGGCAATTAAATAGAAATAGTCACCTTCCCTTAAAGCTACAGTGTGTAATTTTCAGCGACATCTAGCGGTCAGACTGCAGACCGCAGCAACATGAACATCTCCCCCCCACCGCTTCTCCCCCCCAACAGTACGGCGAGCGTTACGGGACAAAATTTCTTCCACGACGTCCACATCACCTACCTTCTCAAGTGATGAGGTTTGTTTACATAGATAATTTTACAGATAGTATTTCATTAGTCTGAGTAGGGTATAGATTTCATGTAGACTTAAGATAATAAATATACCCGTTATTTTTTCTACATCGTTGTGACGTTTTGGTGAGCTGCTTTGCATGGTGATATAAACAGACGAAGTAATTGTAGTCATTAGTTTAACAGCGAGATTGTGTTCGCTGGAAGAATATATATTCCCCGTTTACAGAGTCTAAGTCATTTTGGTGGCACGGGGGTTACAACGCGAGGAAGAGGGAGAGGACGAGGGCGAAGGCAGGGAGGCCGTGCAGCTAGGGCCAGGCGAGAGAGGGGAGCCAGCGGGGTGAGAGCAGAGGAAGAAAGGCTTGAAGATCTCCAAAGGAGCCGGAGAGAAGTAACCGAGGTATATATCCAGAAAATTATTTTACAGAAAATTACTGAATCATTACCTATGAAACGTCAGGGACGTTGCTGAATAAGTATACTGGAGAGGAACAGCATCATCACGCCGCAGCATGTTATTGTTTTAGACAGGTCTGAGCATCCTGTACTCCAAAAACTGCAGTGATATTAGACAATTGTGTGTGTAGGATTAATTACCTGTCCAAGAGAAAACTGGCAACTTGAGCGTCACTTTGAAAACCTTTTTCCTCCATCAGTGACTTCCATCGTGTAAATGCCGTGCCAATGTTGATCCGTGTTTTTTGCCGTTTCTTGTCACGCTTGCGTTTATTCTCGTCGTGTTTCCGCTTCTTAGATGACGGGGGTTCGGTGTCCGCCGCTTTTCGTTGTGATACAGAGTAGGCATGATCCTCCATTCGTCTGATGTTTGGCCACACAGTGCCAAACAGTTTGCAAAGTCACTCACGCCTGCCGCCTTGTTCACCTTTCTTGTTACTGAGGCGCAGTATACCTGCTTCTTCTTCTTCTTCTTTGGTTTCAGGCAGACTAAACGCTTCTCAGGCATAATACTGCCATCTACTGTTCAGTACCGTCTCAGTTCATCTCTCTCAACTTGCCGTAGTTATTTTTGAGCGTCATGGGAGATCTCGCAATCGCTAGTTTGTTGCCTCTGCGCTTGCCGTAGCGCAAAGATGTCAGCCTCCATGGCTGCGAGACCCGCTCCTATGTAATTATAAATAACGAATTCTAAGGCAACACAAATATTATGGTTAAAAGGCTGAGCTCATAGGTGATGATAAATAACATAGTTATGTATAATATATTAAATTTCTGACTTTATATCCCTGTAATTATTACACACTGTAGCTTTAACATAAAATAATTGGCAATGTTTGAATAGCAACAAAATTGTAATTTAATCCTAAAACTTAACAAAAAATAAAAATACAGTTTTGACCACATTTGTTGTTGCTGTGTTTCAACTCAAATTAAAAATAAAATTGTTATATAAGAATGGAATCCTATTTATGTAAAAGAAAAAAAAAAGACATGCTACCCCCTCCCTAACGATAGTTTTTTTTTCCTTTTCATTATAAATAACACAACAGTCCTGTACCATTAAAGGATTTATAAGGTAATCATTTAGAATTACTTGAATTCCTTAAAATTTCAGATATAATTTAAACAAGAAGCTGCTTTTTTCATACTCTTTGTTTGCAGAAGTTGAAATAGAAATACACAATTAATTACAATCAAAATAAACTTGAAGTGGTTTTCTCACACTCCACTATTAAAACTATTAGAGTAAATTTTCTATTTTTCAAACAGTTACGTTTTCTAAAAATATATTGCAATGGATTCTACCAATCAAAATGAAGGCTCCTCTCAGATAAATGTAAAGGAAGCTGAGGTTTTTGTACAGCTGCTGTGTTTTGTTTTGTTCCGTCTATGTTTCTTAAGACTATATCCTCTAAACCATTTCTAATAAAGCTTTATACATAATTATAAAGTGGAAATATATCTGTTGGGTTGTTATCTAGCTCTGGGAAACCAATTAGTACAAAACAGGATGTAAAAAAAAAACAATTGTGAAAGAAATTTAATTTCATTACACAGCCTGCTGTTTTAAACTATTAAAACAATGTTAACTCTCTAAAGTATATTGAATAAAAAAGGCATGGAGACCAAAAAGTTGGAACAAAATAACATCTGGCAATACTTTAGCTTATCATTACTTTATTTAAACACACACTGTTCCTAATTTCAGAATTTTAATGTGGAATACATGTTGCTTCTACTCAAACTATTTAGGTTCAGACAGAAAAAAAAAACATTGGAAAAATATTCAGTGAAATTAGTTCTCATAAAAAAAAGGTAAAATTCAGAACAACAGATCAGAGTTTGAGGTTTTTGTACAGCTGCTGAACTGACTTCAGTCACTGTGCCCTTCGAGCACAATAATAAACAGCAGAATCTTCTGTTCTCAGGCTGTTCATCTGCAGATACACCTGCTGTTTGCTGTTGTCTCTGGAGATGGTAAACCGGCCTTGGACTGACTGAGAATACCATTTGGTACTACCACTGCCACTATCGAGCATGGATACCCATTCCAGTCCCTTCCCAGGAGCCTGTCTGATCCAGGCCATGTAGTAGCTGATGAATGTGAATCCAGAGGCTGTACAGGTCAGTCTGTGAGACTCTCCTGGTCTTTTAACCACTGGTTCAGATTCTCTCAGAGTCTGACTATTAACACCTGTAAATTAATATATTCAAGAAACATAATTTTTGTTAGGAAATAGTTTCACAAAAGCAGACTGATGTTCTGTCAGTAATTTAACCTGTAAAGCAGATGATAGAAAACAGCAGCCCTGATCTGTAGTCCATCATGTCTCTGAGTGATTTCTGTCTCTGTCTGTTCGTCACAGTCAAATAAATACAGCTAGAAATGATTAAGCTTTGCATTGACTCCGCCCGTCAGTGAGGGTGGAATTCAAATTTAGATCTATGAGGTTAGAGCAATTTAGGCCATATGTTTTAACCCTGTTCTATATTAGTCGGAGTTTAAAAGTTTCTTTACAGTAATTTATGATAAGTAACTGTATTGATTGTTAGAACATGTTTTGTTATTCTAAATAAATTACCTTAGTAAATATATATTTTTTTGCTTAAGACAATTGAAAGAAAACAGTCATGTCAACTATTTCGGGAACTTAAGCAATAGCCTTTGGAAAACTTCCAAAGGCAAGTGATGAAACGTCAACAAAATTAACAGCATAGCATCACTGCTGGCTTTAACTGGTTTAGTGTAAATCCAAATAGCCATCATCGATCCCACTGTTTTCTCTTCAGGTTGCCAAATCGATTGTTTTCCATACTGACTAAAATTTCTTGATACTTTGTCAAAAATGAGGTGGAAGTAATGGACTCGACAACCTGACTGTTATAAATCAATAAAGAACTAAATGAAAATAGTATATAGTTCAATACAAGCTTACAAGACAGACAGATTATAGGGACAGACAATCTGATCATCTTCACAAAACTGAAACTGAAACTGAAGCTGAGAATGAAAATCTTCAACTCTTAAAAAACAGAAAGATAGAATGAGTTTGATTGGGTGTCATTTCCATTTTCTTTTGAATAAAAGGCAAGTAGATGTGATATGTGAATAATTTAATGTTTATTTAATGAGAGCATTCACTTAAAGATAGAATTAAGACACTCATGAAGATACACACATTCATTTTTAAACAATAAAAAATTTACTTAATAGACAATTGAATAATCATCCAAAGAGAAGGTTAAGTATACTTATAATAGCAAAGCAGAGATACTAAAAGTAAACAAAAGAAAAGCAAACAGAATCCTATAAATGTATTATTATTTAAAACATTTGGATCTATAAAACAAATTTTAAGTCTATTAGTCAATATTATTTATGGTATAAGAGCACCTCCTCTGGTGGGTTAGTAATAATGCAAATGCTCTTTACTCAAGAGCTGGCAGGAGTTTCTCTTTTTTGCTCCACTTTTAAAAAAAAACATGACAGATTTGAAATTATAATAAACTGCAATAATTCATTTGATTTCAGGTTTAAAGAAGTGTGCTATTTAAAGTACTTGTTCTTCCCTGCAGGGCTCCAAATGACAACAATCCCGATATACTACTAGAAACACTCTGCTGCTCGTTGCATCAGTGACAAAGACCAGAACCTCCTTATTGAGGTCTAAAGATGAGGGAGGAAAGGCCTTTATTCTGAGGATCCTAAACTGTGGAACAGTTTTCCCCTCCAACTTCATTCTGCTGGCTTTCTGGGAGTTTAAAAATTGTTTTTATTTTTTTATTTTTTTTTTCAGAGGATTTTTGTGTTGTGATTATATTGTAATTGACTCCTGGAGTTAGGCACCAGCACCCATCGCGACCCCGCTTGGGATAAGTGTGTCAGATAATGGATGGATGGATGGATTTTCTGTTAACTGATTCACAAAGAAAGATAGAAATTTCTTCACCATTTTCTTACCCGTAAAGCAGATCATAGAAAACAGCAGTCCACATCTGAGGTCCATTGTGTTTCAGTGTGATTTCTGCTCTCTGACTGATTGTCACATTCACACAAATAAAAAATCAATTATAAAGTTTTGCATTGACTCCACCTTTCAGGGAGGATAAATTCAAACTCAGATTTATGAGGCAAGCACAGCTCATACAGTTTTGTTTCATAGTGGGATTTTTCATATATTTTTCTGAAAGGAAGCAATTTGAGATCCTACTTTTTTCGGTAATCATAATAATTTAGTCAATAATTTTAGTCAAACTAATAAGAAGCCTCACCATCGGCCCCACCGCTTCCCAGCTCCCCCACTCTGCATCATCCATCACATCCGGGGGAAAACCTTCAACTCTCTTCCCGGTAAACAAAAACCTCTTTGTCTCCTCCAGGAACCTGCACCTCCAGCAGGTCCTGCGGGCCAACTCTTAAGCACCCCCCACAGACTAAACATAGCAGTATGCACCGGCAAGCTCTTGGACCCCTGATATGGAGTTAACACTTAGAAAATAAACTAAGTCCAGCGCCATACCAGGGTCCCGGATGTTTAAAGCTGTTTAGGTCTGTTCTCTGCCTCCAGGGGCTGATGCAGCTAGACCTTTAACCCTTTATGCCTATCCATGCCACGGCAATACTTAGAAAAATTCTAGCTCCCTCACAGCCTCCTGGGGAGCCCGGGAAAAAGCTAGATTTCTTACCCAGCAGGTGGATGGAACCAAACTTTGGAAATAAGCATCTACAAGGGGAAATTCACCAATAAACATCCAAACTTATACAACCTGAGCTGAGCTAAAATGGTCCCAGCTCTGTGGGAAGATTTTTTGGCCACAAATTTTCCCACTTTCATGACCCTGGTACGGCGTTGACACTTAGAAAAAATTCAGACTTATGGGACCCTGGTACGAAGTTGATAGTTTATTGAATAGGAATGATAAAACTAATAGTAACAATATATATATAATAATACTATAAAGTATTAATATTGTTATTATTATTATTTTCATTATTATTATTATTATTATTATTATTATTATTATTATTATTATTATTATTATTGTTAGCATTATTGTTATTACTACTACTATTATCATTATTATTGATTGATTGATTGATTGATTGATTGATTGATTGATTGATTGATTGATTGATTGATTGATTGATTGATTGATTGATTGATTGATTGATTGATTGATTGATTGATTGATTGATTGATTGATCTGCAGATAGAGCTGATTTTTGCTGTTGTCTCTGGAGATGGTAAACCTGCCTTGGACTGACTGAGAGTAGTATGTGCTACCACCACCATCATTGATCTCAGCAAGCCATTCCAGTCCCTTCCCAGGTGCCTGTCTGATCCAGGCCATCCAGTAGCTGCTGAATGTGAATCCAGATGCTGTACAGGTCAATCTGTGAGACTCTCCTGGTCTTTTTACCACTGGCTCAGATTCTGTCAGACTCTGACAATAAACACCTGTAAATTAATAAATTCAGGAAACATAATTCTTTTTATGAAATAGTTTCATAAAAGCAGACTGATGTTCTGTCAGTAATTTTCACCTGTAAAGCAGATGATAGAAAACAGCAGCCCTGATCTGTAGTCCGTCATGTCTCAGTGTGATTTCTGTCTCTGTCTGTTTGTCACAGTCAAATAAATAGATCTGGTAATGATAAAACTTTGCATTGACTCCACCCGTCAGTGAGGCAGGAATTCAAATTTAGATCTATGAGGTAAGCATAAGTTAGGTTATTTTATTTTTTGATGGGCTTTTTCATTTTTTATTTTTTACTAGACAGTAATTTAGCATTAGTTTCTCTGTCATAGCGATGATAAAGAAATAAAATAAAAAAACGTGAAAAATATCATAGTGATAAGAAACATCATAGGTGAGAAGTACAGTAACTTTTTTCTTAAGGAAATACACTTACTAATGAAGGTTATTGAAATTAGAAATCAGTCCGATAATTATTACTACATTTAATAAGGGCAGATGAAGACATAAGAAATGATGACATTTTTGGGTAAAAATAAAGAAAGTTAAAGAGATTGATCTTTAAATTTTGTTAAATCTCAGAAATTACTTTCATTAAATACATTTTACGCATTAACGTTTTTAAACAAAGTTGCTTTATGGAACATGTATTTTTAGCTTCATCATCCTGAAAGTATTTGTAGAACATAAGCAATGGAAATATATTCTGCCAAAACACATTGATGGGAGGTCAGTAAACCACCAATACAGGATGAAAGGCTGGGTGCCATAACGACAGGACAGAGACTGTTGAATAGTATGGCCTTTGGGGATACATTTGAACACAACCTCCAACCTGGCCTACAATATCTGGAGGCAATGTTGTTCACAACTGACATGGGTTCAATCCACTTACCTCAATAAGGACAGTTTAGCAACGGAGGAGGTGCGCCTTCTTTCGCCACAGTAAGTGCCATCTGAACGGGGCTGCCAGTCAGGTAGGAGCGGAACAGGAATCAGTATGCTTCCTTGCACCAATGAAGTTAGCACAGGGACCTCTAGCTTCTAGGAGCCGTACAGCTGGACACAGTCCTCCACACTGAGTTTGACAAAAATACATTATTTTGTGAAACAGGATAATCTACACACCTTCATATGTTTTGGATAAAAAATGGAGAGCTTCAGCAGTTCACTGCAATTTTATTATTATTATTATTATTTTCTTGTTATTTTCTAGAAGGCTGTAGTCTCAATATGACCAACATAATTCTTGGACGGAGGCCGCATATTGATTTCTGTAATGTTGTGTTCACACTGAATGCGTTCTGGGCGTAAAAAATGCTTAAAGGCTGAAATTTGGATGCTGGGTCAAACCTTGGTAAAGATGCTTTGATGCTTTAATGATCTGGATGCTCGGTGCTCTGGTTGTTTATCTGTTCTGTTCTGTCGTTACAAGCTAGAGAGCAGCTTGGCTTTATTTATCATGATCTACTGTGATAGCTGGCCTTAATTACTCATGCCTTTCACCTGCTTTACTCTATCCAGCTCGTTATTATCACTTATCTCATCCATCTGCCAGTTGCCCTTATATTGGGCTCAGTTCCAGCTATCATGGCCAGATCATTAGATGTTGTTCTCTGTTCAGTCTGTTCAATTCTGTTTATTCGAAGGTTCATGTCGTGGATCCTGGCGGCCAGTGGAAAGAGGGTTTTGTGACTGTCTCGTCTCCTGCTCGTCCACTGTTCCTCCCCTGCTGAGCCCTCTGGGTTTCTGTCTCTTTACGTGGGGAGGTTCAGATTTTATTCCAGTAAGTCTGGCTCCAAGTTGGAGACCAGTTTAAAGGTCCTGCTCAAGTTCTGGTTCCAGGTCCTGTCTTGGCGACCCTATTCCACTGAGCCTGCCCGTCTGCACCTGATCCTGTCTGCTTCTGTGCGTGTCTGTCTGGTCATGCTTCTGGACTCTTAACCTGCCTAGGGAGCCCTAGGATGCCTCGAAGCCTGGATCCTGCCTGTTCTGTCTGTTCCTGCCTGTTCTGAATCCCTGTCCAGGATCAGCTTCCTGCAAGTTCTCTGGGACTGCAGCACGGGAGGCACTCTCAGTGACGCATGCCGCGTCTGCCTTCAGTCCAGCGGCTGGATTGCACCCCTTTACAGGGAGATGGACTTGGCTGTTGAACCAGGTAAGTCACTCACTAAGATCATCATCTTTTGTCAGATGATCGTGGTCACTTACCTGTGTTTCTCCCACCAGAGTGTCTGAGATTGGGCGATGCCCCACCCCCCTGCAGCAACCAACACTGGTTCAGATTGTCTCACACTTTGACAATAAACACCTGTAAATTATTTATATATTTGAGAAACATAACTCTTGTTAGGAAATAATTTCATAAAAGCAGACTGATGCTCTGTCAGTAATTTAACCTGTAAAGCAGATGATAGAAAACAGGAGCCCTGATCTGTAGTCCATCATTTCTCAGTGTGATTTATGTCTCTGTCTGTTTGTCACAGTCAAATAAATAGATCTGGAAATGATGAAACTTTGCATTGACTCCACCCGTCAGTGAGGGAGGAATTCAAATCTAGATCTATGAGATTAGAGCAATTTAGGTCAAACGTTCTGACCGTGTTCTATATTAGTGGGATTTTAACTTTTTTTTTTTACATTAATTTATTATTAGGAACATTATTGATTGTTAGATAATGTTTTGTTATTTCAAGGAAATTGCCTCACTATTTGTGTTTTTGTTTGTTTAACGCAATGAAAAATAAACTATCATGTCAACTATTTCTAGAACTTAAGGAATAGAAACATGGTTTTCCAAAGACTAGTGATGGAACGTCAACAAAATTAACAGCATAGCATCACTGCTGGCTTTAACTGGTTTAGTGTAAATCCAAATAGCCATCATCGTTCCCACTGTTTTCCCTTCAGGTTGCCAGATCGATTGTTTTCCATACTGACTAAAATTTCTTGATACTTTGTCAAAAATGAGGTGGAAGTAATGGACTCCACAACCTGACTGTTATAACGTAATAAAGAACTAAATAAAAATGGAATATAGTGTAATATAGAAATAAAAGAAAGAGGAACACTTTTTTATGGTAACAAATTATTAGCTAACAAGTCAGACAGATTATTGGGACAGACAATCTGATCATCTTCACAAAACTGAAACTGAAGCAGAGAATGAAAATCTTCAACTCTTACAAAACAGAAAGACAGACGGAGGTTGATTGGATGTAATTTCCATTTTTTTCAGAATAAAAGGCAAGTAGGTGTGCTATGCGAATAATTTAATGTTTATTTAATGAGAGCATTCACTTAAAGATAGAAATAAGACACTCATGAAGACACAAATTTATTCATAAAAAATAAAAAAATAATAACTTTATAGACAATTGAATAATCATCCAAAGAGAAGGTTAATTATACTTATAAGAGCAAAGCAGAGATACTAAAAGTATACAAAAGAAAAGCAAACAGAATCCTTTAATAGTATTATTATTTAAAACATTTGGATCTATAAAACAAATTTTAAGTCTATGAGTCAATATCATTTATGGTTTAAGAGCACCTCCTCTGGTGGGTTAGTAATAATGCAAATGCTCTTTACTCAAGAGCTGGCAGGAGTTTCTCTTTTTTGTTCCACTTTTAACAAACAACATGACAGATTGGACATTATAATAAACTGCAATAATTTATTGATTTCAGGTTTAAAGAAGTGTGCTATTTAAAGTACTTGTTCTTCCCTGAAGGGCTCCAAATGACCACAATCCCGATATACTTGTGTCTACTAGAACCACTCTGCTGCTCGTTGCATCAGTGACAAAGACCAAAATCTCCTGATTGATGCCCATCCAAGGTCTAAAGATGAGGGAGGAAAGGCCTTTATTCTGAGGATCCTAAACTGTGGAACAGTTTTCCCTCCAACTTCATTCTGCTGGCTTTCTGGGAGTTAAAAAAAATGTTATTTTTTTTTTTTTAGCTGATTTTTGTGTTGTGATGATATTGTAACTTTTCTTACATATTTTTTATACTAAAACTTCAATATCATTAATGCTTTGTGACTTTTGTGAGTATAAGGCAGTTTATAAATATGGCCAGTCTGATGTGGCAAGGAACAATTCAAATGTAGTACCTACTTAATTAGTAACTACTATTCTAATATAGATACAATTTGTTGCAACAACCCCACATTAAAGTAAACTTTAATGCAATTAGTATGAATATATTTAATTTTATCTGTACTGTATCTGTCTTTTTTTATTTTTTTGTTTAATTTTAGTCAAAATGTAAATATCTAAACAAACGTTTAGAGAACGTTGCAGGCTAATCATCTGTTATGGTAAAAAACCTGAAACCAAGCAGGTTTATCCTCATCATGCATTTATAATGATAAAATATTTAATTAAATTAATATCTCACACACCAACCTACAGTACATATAAACAGGTCAAATTCAGAACAACAGATTAAAGGTACATTCCTGAACAGTGACATATAATAGAAGACAAGATTATAAGATTTATTTTTCTCTTTTTATCATTTTTTCTTAACAGTTTCTGCAATAATATAATTCTTGGAACCTTATAAAGAAAATTAATCCTGCAATCAAAATAAAGGATCCCTTAAAGAACTTGAGGTTTTTGTACAGCTGCACAACTAAATTATGTCACTGTGTCTCTCGAGCACAATAATAAACAGCAGAATCTTCTGTTCTCAGGCTGTTCATCTGCAGATACACCTGCTGTTTGCTGTTGTCTCTGGAGATGGTGAACCGGCCTTGGACTGACTGAGAATACCATGTGCCACTTCCACTACTACTGATCTCAGCAAGCCATTGCAGTCCCTTCCCAGGAGCCTGTCTGACCCAATGCATGTTGTAGCTGCTGAATGTGAATCCAGAGGCTGTACAGGTCAGTTTGTGAGAATCTCCTGGTCTTTTAGCCACAGGTTCAGATTCTGTCAGAGTCTGACAATAAACTCCTGTGAAACAATAAACATAGTTCATGTCAGTAAACAGTTTCAAAAAGCAGACTGATGTTCTGCCAGCATTTTCTCACCTGTAAAGCAGATGAAAGAAAACAGCAGCCCAGACTTGTAGTCCATCATGTTTCAGAGTGATTTCTGCTCTCTGACTGCTTGTTAGTCACACAAATAGAGCTGGAAATAATTAAGCTTTGGATTGACTCCGCCTTTCAGGGAGGGAGAAATTCAAATTTCAATCTATGAGTTAAGCCAAATTTAGGTTATATAGTTTGACAGTATTCTTTATTTTGTTTATCTAATGTGTGATAATGAATAAATAAATAATTAAATATATATATATATATATATATATATATATATATATATATATATATATATATATATATATATATATATATATATATATATATATATATATATATATATAATGCAAAGGAAAGTTTGATAAATCAGATAATAGTCAGATAATAATCTATACAACATTTAGGAAGGCCAGTCCCAGGCTGAGGAACTTATTGCATTAAGGTTTGGATCAAAAGGAAGAAAGTTAAACTTTAATTTTCCATTTTACATTACATTACATTTCATTACATTTACATTTTACATTATTTTATCTGGAAAATTATTCTTTTTTACCTAATATTTAATGCAAAGTTTACAAACGTGCAATATGGAACATGTATTTTTTTTAAGAGAATCTTTTAGAGTCATCATCCTTTAATTATTTGTAGAACATGAGCAATATAAATATGTTTGAAAATAAAGCATATACCAATTTTAAAAAATCACTCTCGCCAACACTACGTTCTTGTTTTCCTTTCCAATTGAAGATAAAAGAACTTCTACAAAAGGATCAAAGTTTAGGGCTACTTTTTCATTTTAGAGGACGAATATTACAACACAGTAGAAGAGTTAGACAAGAATAGCTTTATTATCATTAAGCAAGTGCACAAGGGGATTAAAATTAGCTCTTTTCCAAAGTGGAGATGTATGAGTATAAAGTCAAAAAAAGCAGAAATGAAGAGTAAGGCACAAGATTATAAACAGGTTCATAAGTATTTTGACAGAGAGAACACTTACCGGTACCTAACTATGGTTCTCGGCATTAACGCAATAAATAAAAAACAAAACAACTCGAATGGAGTTGAATTTAAAAATTTCAGCTTTAATTCAGCCTAACAAGTATTCTTTTCATTCAAAATTCTGCAGAACTCTAATGACCTCATTAAAGTTGTGAAGAATTTTACCATTGCCTTAATTGGCGTGGATAAAAATAATACACGTCAACCAGAGGTTAAGATTTCATCAAGAACAAAAAAAAATACAATATAAACAATGTTGGGTTTGTTGTATGTATAAGAAAACATCAAACCCCACAACTCCAAACAGATTTTGACTTTTAAACTATATTTCAGAAGTAAGACATGGAATACAAAAAGGTATCAACAAATGTTTTATTGGAATACTTGAAGTTATTATTGCCTCTTTTAAACATATTAATCCTAATAGAATGACAGACTGTTTGCACAAGGAGTCTCTTGTGCAAAAAGTCTGAAATTCTCCCAGTCAAAATGAAACTTCTCTCTAGAAAGATTTGAAGGAAGCTGAGGTTTTTGTATGGCTGCTGAACTCACTTCAATCACTGTGCCTCTCGAGCACAATAATAAACAGCAGAATCTTCTGTTCTCAGGCTGTTCATCTGCAGATACACCTGCTGTTTGCTGTTGTCTCTAGAGATGGTAAACCTGCCTTGGATTGACTGAGAATAGTCTGTGTATCCACTATAACCACTACTGATACGAGCAAGCCATTGCAGTCCCTTCCCAGGAGCCTGTCTGATCCAGGCCATCCAGTAGTCGCTGAATGTGAATCCAGAAGCTGTACAGGTCAGTCTGTGAGACTCTCCTGGTTGTTTAACCACTGGTTCAGATTCTCTCAGAGTCTGACTATTAATACCTGTAAAGCAAACAAGGTCAGTAAGTAAAGTTCTTTTTAATAAATAGTTTCACAAAAACAGATTGAAGGTTCCATATATTTTTTTTCTCGCCTGAAAAGCAGATGATAAAACAAAGAAGTCCAGATCTGAAGTCCATCTTGTTTCAGTGTGATTCTCATTCTTTGGCAGCTTGTCACAGTCACAGAAATAGGACCTGAAAATATTAAGCTTTGCATTGACTCCACCTGTCAGGGAGGGAGGGATTCAAACTCAGATTTATGACATAAACAAAATTTAGTTTACACAGTGATTTATATATATATATATATATATATATATATATATATATATATATATATATATATATATATATATATATATATATAATATTTTTAATGTTAATTTAAAGAAAAATCATACAAATTAGAAATACAGTGATGATGATAGTACTGATTAATGTAATAAATATGATTAATAGTAATAAAATAAAAGAATATAACAAATTTAAAAGATACATGTGTTCTGTTTTCAAAAAGATAAAAATTTGACCTGAATATGTGAAATGTATTATAGACTGTTTATCAATATCTGCAGTATAAAATTGTCTCCTGTGCTGGGTTAATAGTGCAACTTGGTTTTTTCCTGTCAAAGACTTAAAACTGAGAAGGCCTGCGATTTTCAGACAAGAAATATTTAGTCTCTGACATTTATGCTGAATCTGCAGGTGTTTTTCAAAAACCTGGTTAAACCCGCTTTTTCCCCCCAGTTTGTTTTTTACTTCGTTACTTTATTCTGATTTTTTTTTTTATTGTTTCAATATGAAAATATTTAAAGTATGTCATACCATCATTTTGAATCTTTGAAAGGCACTGCATAACTTATCTGAATTATCTTACACTGAGAATATTTTATTTTTTAGGAATTCTTTTAGTTTTTAAATGATTTAATGCAAAGGTAAGATTACACATAAAGCATTCTCCTAAACGGTAATCATTGTTCACTGTAGCAAAAAAGTAATTATTTTGATTATTCAAAAGATTAGATACTTAAAAATTTTTCTATAAAATATGATTCAAAGTTCATATATATATATATTTTTTTTTTTTTATAAATACTGGTTACACTCATATTTTTGTTTTACCTAATTATTTCAGACAGTATATAGATCATACTGTAAATAAAAGACTTTAGAGAATTGGAACATTTATACACTAATCCAGGTCAAAAACTAAAAATAACCATATTTTAAATGCAGATTTTGGTTTTCTGAATCTTTGATAATCTGAATTTTTTATTAGTAGCACATGCATACAGATATTATAACCCTTACATGTAATCTTCTTTTTTTAACAAAAATTATCTTAGAGCTCCCCCTCTTGATGCTTTTATGTTGCATGTTTGCAGACTATATTTTGTCCATGCAGTCACTCGTTTGATGATACTAAATCATTTGATACTAACATTTTTTCTATAGGGAACCTTTGTAGATAGTTCAGTTAACATTCTTACCAATTCACTCCAGGTTTTTCCCAGCAGCATGTCTGATCTAATGTGTGCTATAGTAGCTCAGATAATATACAATGAACAACAGTGAGTATTTACTTTGTAAGACTGTTAATCAAAAAAAGAGTGTCCTCATTCAAAACTTTCACCAGATCAGGTGAAAAACAGACTGTCACAAAAGATCATTCCTGTCGACAGCTTTTTTCATATACAAAAGCTGGTAAAAAAAAAAAAAAAAAAAAAAAATCTATGAGTTATGACATATACAGTAGGTTCCTATTTGGATCAATAAAGTATGGTTTAACAGAATTTAATTTCCAAATTTACAGTGCAACAAAACTTAACTGTTACCCTGTCCATCTTCTAAATTGTGACTTTTTTTAAATATCTGAATGCTTTGAAAAATTGTCTTCAAGAGATCAACTCCAGTACTTACCTTAAAATGTGTTACTTGTTTGGGTCACCAATACACTGCCGCTCCAACAGATCCTGCACAAAAAATGTAGCCTTCACGGGTATCTCATTAGAGACTCCTAATGACACAAATTTCTTCGAAAGAAAAGGTTTTACTGCTTCTTTCAAAAATCCTGAGGTTTTCATTTTCAGTCCAATCTACTGTTAGTTGTATATATATTCTGTTGTTATTATTAGTAGTAGTTTAACTATTCTGTTTAGTGGTGTCTTTGTTAAAATGTGTTAAAATTTGGTAACCAATGTACTACATAATACAGGATACATTGTAAACATTAAGCTACAAATCATGTCAAGAGGTGCGCAATACAACCACATGAAGTAAAGTATTCTAACTACACCACTTTAAAACGATGGACCATGTTCTGTTTGTAAAATGGGTTTGATTTCTAAATTTTTTTATGCCTTCTAAATTACTCTTTTTTCAAAAGTTTGCAAAGAAACATTCCCTTAATATTTGAACCTTACATTTTAAGTTTGTTTGCACTATATTGTTTATACATCTGTTTGTAGTGCTTACTGGTGACAGCCGTCACACAGTACTTATTTGATAGTTTATTGTGCATTGTTTTTTTGCCCTTACCCTCAAAGTTTTAGGCCAATAGGCAAAAATGGATATTGTGTCCAATCCTAAAAAAATAATAATAATAATAATAAAAATAACTTGTTTTTACCATATATCGAATGACAACTTTAGTGTTGAAAAAAAAAAAAAGTATGATAAATATAACAACTGAAATAACTATTTTCAAACATCACAGGGCTCAGGGTTGAACACATTATTAATTCATAAAGAAGCTTTTATTTTGAAAAGTGGAAATTGAGTTGACCGGATATCCTTTACACGTAGCCCCGCCTCGCCACAAACACGATTCCATCTAAGCTCATTCTCCCGAAATTGTATGTAGATGTTCGTGTTTGCTGCACATCTAGTTTCACAGAAGACAACCTCGATGCCAGGGATTTTTCCAACTGATGATCAATCATTTACAGCCGCCATTTCCTCTCTGTAGACCAAGCTAATAGGAGATCAGTTACCGGAGGCTAATTAGAGCAACAACTGACCTTTTTGTTTCTTTAGAAAACCACTAAAGAAAACTTCCCACTGTGGTCTGGACATTCATTAAATTCTACAGTTTTACAAACCTCTGTTTTAGCAAACCTAAAGGTAAGGAATTAACTCCAACAAACATTTACTGTGCGTTAGCTTTAGCAGAAATCCCCGTTTAAATAAGTCTGCATGCATAAAAACTAATATAATGTTTTATTAGTGGGAGAATGTGGGTTATGTATGAGCAATAAATATCTTACCTGATATAGCTTTACTGTAGCAGGTTTTATTCTTTTTAATAAACAGTAGCTACAACACATTGTTTTGATTGTAAACTTCTAAAGATATTGTTTAGTATATATGTAATTAACATCTTTTTCTTTTTTTTTACACCTTATTACTTTTGCATCAGGTAGTTTCTTTGTTAAAATTAGCATCAAGCTAAGAATTTATTGCTACACATTAACTCCACTGCTTGATCTAAACCCAGGAAATTGTGTACCTGTTATTTTTAGTTTCAGGAATTCACTACAGCTTAAATCTCTATTAGGAAATAATATTGTCATAATCAATATAAGATTTAGATGTTGTGGTAATTCCTGAATGCAAGCATGACAACATTTTGTAAATAACAATTTAAAAACATTCAAACTAAAATATAGTTAAAATAGTGCCACATTTCTACGGTTGTGCACCCTTTGCTTTATTGTGCATTCTTATAAGAAGTTATGTTTGTTCTTTAATACACAACAGAAATATTATTTCGTAAAGTTCAATGGATGTCATTAAATACTATTTTTTTCTTAATGTAATTTTTTAATGTGTGCATCCTACATTCATTTCAAAATTAAAGAACTGTAGCTCTTTGATGATGATAATAAACATTTATGTTAAATTAGTAAAGGTTTAAGCCGGAAGCCTCAAAGCTGCTTCTGCTGTTTCAGGCCTTCCCAATTATCTTTTCATCACTGAACCGATAAATAATACACATCTTTACATTTTTTTTCCCCACATCGTTAATGTAAAAGTTACATTTTTAAAGTTTTTTTGTGTTCTTTAAAATAAAAAAAAAGTCCAACTATCTATTAAGTGTAATGGATGATGGTCAAAGGAAAAAAAATAAACAAATAAATAATCCTAGCATGTTTTTTTTCTTGGCTGCAAAAGTGATTTTCCCCTTTCATTTCCATATATGGAAAACATTCCATTCTCCTAAATGCATAAATTTTGACTAATGTATATTTCTTTATGAAAAGAAACACTCAACAGATATATATGATTCTCTAATTTATACCAAAACAAATATACTTTATGTTGAGTTTGTATCAGTCTGTATGAGGCTGTTTAAGTTTGCACCCAAGTATCAGCTTAATTTGAGATAAATATAAATTACCTCTCAGGTATAGAGCAGTTTATGTCTGTCTATGCTCTTACTGTGCTGCTCTCATCAGATACTTGCCTACATAATTTGGGAGGGTTGGATAATTCATTGAATAAGTTATATGACCTAGAGTGGCCTTTTAAGGTTTAAGTTCTTAAAAATGGAGCTAACTGAGCTAAAGGTTGTTGTAAGGGAACAAAAACATGACACTAACCTAAAATGACTAAACTTTAGTTCTCCCATGTGGGATCTAATCTGTTGAAATGGTCTGCCATCAGATCGCAAAACATACAGGGAGAATGTTTACTTTTAGGGACAGTGGTTACAGTGCTGTGTTGTACACAAACAAAAATGATATTTTCTTTGTGTACATATTGTTATTCTTATCAGTTTCACTTTAGTATGACGAAGGCAAAATGCCTCATTAGATTATTTAACATGCAGTCGAATGAGCAAGATGCTTTTGTTGCTGACGGTTAATTAACTAAGATCCCATTTCATCTGCTTGTCAGGACCGGTCACTGTCTGTCGTTGTAAAAAGAATGAGAAATATCTATAAACAAGACTTTATTTTTTCTACTACTCAGAATCACAAGCTGTATTATATGGCTGCAAGACTACCGTGATCCATCTGATGGTGAAAATAAAGCTCTGACTGGGCTTTATGTCTGCTTTCAGAAGCATGAGGTACACATCTGTGTGGTTCAATAAAAAGAAATAAATGCATTTTTTTTCCAATAACGAAACAGTTTTTTGTGTAATTCCATTTTATGTTATTTCTTTCAGATCTCCTGCAGAATTACATCCTCCAATATCTGCTGATACTCATGACCAATTTGTCTCTAACAAAGAGGCAGACTGCAGTCCGGAAGAACCAGAAGAACTACGGCTCAAAACGAAACTGGAGGAACCAAAGACTCCACAGATTAAAGAGGAAGAGGATGACCGTTTCCTCCAGCAGGATCGCCTACAACTGGACCTGAAGCAAGAGACTGAGACTTCTGATGAAACATCGTCCGAAGAGGAAACGGACGACAGTGATTCCGGCCTAAATGAGAATGAGCTCTTCTATGGGAGTCATGTTAAGGCTGAGAACAAAGATCAGGAAATGTGTGATAAAAACGTGTCTCACTGCTGCGACGTTTGTGGGAAAGAGTTCAGGAAAAAAAATCATTTAACTGATCATATGAGGACGCACACAGGTGAGAAGCCCTTCCTATGCGGCGTCTGTGGCAAAAGCTTTGCTCGCAAATATGGACTAAATAGCCACATGAAAACTCACACGGGAGAGAGATCGTTCTCCTGCGAAATGTGCGGGAAAGCCTTTAGGGACAACGGACAGCTGAATATTCACATCAGAACGCACACTGGAGAGAGGCCATATTCTTGTGGTTTCTGTGGTAGAAATTTCAGTCAGAGTGGTCATTTGAGGGATCATATGAGGATTCATATAGGTAAGAAGCCATTCCAGTGCAGGATCTGTGGCAAAACCTTCATTAGGAAGAACTCTCTGAAATGTCATACTGTAACTCACACTGGGGAGAAGCCCCATACCTGTGAGCTATGCGGCAAGTCTTATGGCGTTCGTGCTAATTTGACGACTCACATGAAGACACACAGGGGCGAAAGGCCTTTCACGTGTCTGATCTGTAAGAAAAGTTTCATTACAAAGTCAGCTTTGAATAGCCACTTGAGCACCCACTCCTCTGAGAAGCCTTTTTCATGTCCGACTTGCGGAAAAAGCTTCAGGGAGAAGACCTTTATGACAGTTCACATGAAAACGCACACAGAAGAGAAGCCTTTCCCCTGTCCCATATGTGGCAAAAGGTTCAGCCAAAGAAGGTATTTGACCAAACACAAAAGGGGGCACCTGGAGGACAAGCCATATACCTGTGAAGTATGCAGTAAAGGCTTCTGTCAGAGTTGTGATTTGGCCTCTCATATGAGAACTCACACAGGAGAGAAGCCTTTTCCATGTCTGACCTGCGGAAAAAGTTTTGGGAAAAAGAGTAATTTAACTATGCACATTAGAACTCACACGGGGGAGCGGCCCTTCCCTTGTCCGACGTGTGGAAAAGGTTTCAGAGAAAGAACATCTTTGAACAGACACATGGAAACTCAGCACCCCTGAGAAAGTATAATTTCTGAAATGGTGGCAGTTTGACTTCCATGTCTCCTTTGAGTTTAGCTCAATGTTTATAATCTGCAATCAGGAGGAAAAAAAGAAAAGTCACCCTCAGCAACAAATTCAAGTTAAAAGTATCGCTTTCTTTCAACCTAGAAAAATCTGATCATTATTCACTAAACAGATATATTTTAAGTAGTTTTATGTTGCTTTTGATTGTTATTGATTAAGGCTAACACAAACCCAAGTTTTGGTTTATTTCATATCTGGAATAAAGAAATTGGCTAATTCTCTGCATGAATTACTGCAACAGTATGGTAAGAAGTGCCTTTGCTGAAATATTAAGGACTCCCAGGTTGCTTTAATTGCTTCTCTTGGCCCGTCTCTATTGCTAGCCTGTAGAACACACTGTTAACGTGGTCTTTAAAGCAGCCTTGGTTACTTTGGTAGTGTGGAAGGTACCAAGACCTGCTGAAAATTGAAAACATGAATAATCTCATAGGCGATTGGAATAACATTTCTGTGTTCAAAATAAAAATCTAAATCTAAATAAAATTTACTTGATAAAGTAAATTAAAAGTTAATCATCTAAATTAACAGAATTAAATACTTCAATGTGGGTGATACTGTAGGAAGTTTCACTTATATCGCTGAATGATTGATTATTTTTAATAATGTTTTTGGATGCACATGTATGTCTGGAACTGTTCTCTGCATGTTCTAAACTTTTTATTTCTCACCCCTAATAAGGGTGCTGCATATTTATATTGTTTTATGATGACAGTTTAGCTTTTTGTTACACTGAATGCAAGATCAGAATTTTTTATTTTTTTTCCGTTTAATAAAGGAATTAAATCGGATTGTGGTATTGTTTGTATCTTTGGATCTTTTAACATATAAATTAAAAAAGCTAATCTATGAATAGTTTTTATGTGATGTATCCACCTGCACAAATGAAAATGACATTTATTAAACATAACTGAAGTCTTTTCATAAATAATGTGGCACTAAAGATGAGGTTGACGACTGCGAGCATAAATTATATGCATGCATATTTGTTAGCTCTAAAGGTTAAGATCAATAAATAGCTTTAATCTTTAGTTTTGGCAGCACAATTTCATCTGAAATTATTTCCAAAGTCTAAGGAATAAACCCTTTCAAAGAAAATCAGCAGTATAAATATGATGAATGATGGTCCTTTATATTTTTTCTGCTTTAAAAATATGGGAAAATTATTTATCTTTATAGGTCAGAATATGCTAAAAAGAAAATATATCATCAAACCCTGCACAGGTTTAGGATTAGGGGAACATTTAGAATGTTTAACATGATAGAATCAAAGATGCAAGGTTATTTGGCCACAACATGGTCAGCATGATAGACAGGGAGGTGAAACAACCTAAGTAGATATTCTGTGTGAAATGATTGCGCTGAAAGCTGATGTTATTGTAATCAATTCTACATTTTCCTATTTCTTTCCCTCTGTCATCATTAAAGGGCACACAGAATACCCGTTTTTTGACAAAGCACAAATAAATCAAGTTCCACTTAGTGTCATGTATACAATTAACATAAAACAGTAATAAGAAAGTTAAACAAGTTTAAACATACAAGTTAAAACTGATATTTAAAATAGAAAAACGTAATAAAAAATGCTGCAGATTCAAAAGAAAAACATTTTAATCGAGCATAAAAAAATAAGGATTAATGCTAATTCCAAACATAATTCAACGTACAAAATAAAATTATTTTAAGGCACAATATGGTGCAAGCTGATGTGAGAGATGAGGTTTTAGGTTAGTTTATCATGTTAGGTAGAAACTTAATGTTTTATAGTAAATTTGCTGAAAACCTCATAACAGCCCAATACACACAGAGAAGGATAGGACTGAAAACTGTTGTCAGTTTTTTAATACTATAATCTCAAGTGGTTTGTATTTCTAATGCTTAAATATCTATATGAACACATACAATTCTAAGGATAAAGTTTTATATAGTGATGTATTTATAATTCACTTAGATTTCTTTTCAGACATCAAATTTACTCAATGAAATCTGAAAATGATATTATACATGAAAATGGTAATCTTCAATCAAGCTTTAAAGGTTTAGTTAAAGTATATAAAGATAATTCAACAGTATCAACATTACAAATATCTGTAAAAAATGAACTTTTAATGCCTAAAGTGTAAAGGTTTGTCAAATTAGATTTAAAGTAAAATAAAACTTTACAGGTGCTGGTCATAAAATTAGAATATCATGAAAAAGTAGATTGATTTCAGTAATTCCATTTAAAAAGTGAAACTTGTATATTATATTCATACATTACATACAAACTCATATATTTCAGATGTTTATTTTGTTTAATTTTGATGATTACAAATGACAACAAATGAAAATCTCAAATTCATCATATCAGAAAATTAGAATATTACTGAAGACCAATAAAAACAAAGGATTTATAGAAATGTTGGCCAACTGAAAAGTATGAACATGAAAAGTATGAGCATGTACAGCACTCAGTATTTAGTTGGGCCTCCTTTGGCCTGTATTACTGCAGCAATGCGGCGTGGCATGGAGTCGATCAGTCTGTGGCACTGCTCAGGTGTTATGATAGCCCAGGTTGCTCTAATAGTGGCTTTTAGCTCTTCTGAATTGTTGGGTCTGGTGTATTGCATCTTCTTCTTCACAATACCCCATAGATTTTCTATGGGGTTAAGGTCAGGAGAGTTTGCTGGCCAATTAAGAACAGGGATACCATGGTCCTTCAACCAGGTACTGGTAGCTTTGGCACTGTGTGCAGGTGCCAAGTCCTGTTGGAAAATGAAATCTGCATCTCCAAAAAGTTGGTCAGCTGCAGGAAGCATGAAGTGCTCTAAAACTTCCTGGTATGTGGCTGCGTTGACCCTGGACCTCAGAAAACACAATGGACCAACACCAGCAGATGACATGGCACCCCAAACCATCACTGACTGTGGAAACTTTACACTGGACTTCAATCAACGTGGATGAAGTGCCTCTCTTCTTTTCCTCCAGACTCTGGGACCTTGATTTCCAAAGGAAATGCAAAATTTACTTTCATCAGAGAACATGACTTTGGACCACTCACCAGCAGTCCAGTCCTGTTTCTCTTTAGCCCAGGCAAGACGCTTCTGACGCTGTCTGTGGTTCAAGAGTGGCTTGACACAAGGAATGCGACAGCAGAAACCCATGTCTTTCATACGTCTGTGTGTGGTGGTTCTTGAAGCACTCACTCCAGCTGCAGTCCACTCTTTGTGAATCTCCCCCACATTTTTGAAGGGGTTTTGTTTCACAATCCTCTCCAGGGTGCGGTTATCTCTCTTGCTTGTACACTTTTTTCGACCACATCTTTTCCTTCCCTTCGCCTCTCTATTAATGTGCTTGGACACTGAGCTCTGTGAACAGCCAGCCTCTTTAGCGATGACCTTTTGTGTCTTGCCCTCCTTGTGCAAGGTGTCGATGGTCGTCTTTTGGACAACTGTCAAGTCAGCAGTCTTCCCCATGATTGTGTAGCCTATAGAACTAGACTGAAAGACCATTTAAAGGCTTTTGCAGGTGGTTTGAGTTAATTAGCTGATTAGAGTGTGGCACCAGGGGCCATCAATTTTGAACCTTTTCACAATATTCTAATTTTCTGATATGATGAATTTGAGATTTTCATTTGTTGTCATTTGTAATCATCAAAATTAAACAAAATAAACATCTGAAATATATGAGTTTGTATGTAATGTATGAATATAATATACAAGTTTCACTTTTTAAATGGAATTACTGAAATCAATCTACTTTTTCATGATATTCTAATTTTATGACCAGCACCTGTATATCCATTACAAATTTGAAATAATCAGGTTTATTATATTGTTATTAGATTTATTTTTACCTGGCTCCTTATTCCAAGAGAAACTGGCTGATTTTGACCTTAAGCTATAAAACATAAATCAATAATCACATTAGTGTGGATGCTAATGATAGCAATGCCATGTTGAATTTTTAGTACAAACAACATAATACATAAATTGATTAAGTTAAAGAGAAGGGGAGCAGTTTTCTGTCACAGCTGCTAGAATCCAGATTCATGATCAGATTAAACCTTCGGTCTAATAAACATATTCTTTGTTCTGACAAGTGTCATCTGAAAACCATGGTACAGTTAGATGTAACCACAATTGGTCCTCCAGTCCGTTGCAGGGCATAACCATAGATGTGTTCATCTAAATGTGTTGTGTGACATGAGCATGGTTAGGGCTCCTCCTGTGGTGTCTCCTTGTTAAACCTATTTATACACTGAGGAGTTTTTGTACAGCTTTCCTGCTTTCTGTGTCACTGTGTCTTCGAGCACAGTAATAAACAGCAGAATCTCCAGCTGTCAAACTGTTCATCTGCAGATAAACCTGATTTCTGCTGTTCTCTCTGGAGATGGTGAAACGGTTTCTGACTGAGTCAGAGTAGTAGATGTAGCTACTGCCTTCGCTGATATAAGCAATCCATTCCAGTCCTTTACCAGCTGCCTGTCTGATCCAAGCTATGTGACGATAGCTACTAAACCCAGAATATGTACAGGTCAGTCTGTGGGATTCTCCAGGTCTTTTAACCACTGGTTCAGACTCAATCAGTGTTTGACCGTCAGTACCTGCAAATAAAAAGAACATTTTTGAAGTATATTAAAACTGTGTTTATTACTGAAGAGGTTGCTTGAATTTTTTTATCTTTTAACTCTTCACTTTTATTTTATTCTTATACATTGTTCTAAGGTCCATATTTGTGTGACCCTTTTTTCTATAATCTTTTTGCTGCTGTAAACACCAGAATTTTACCATTATGGGACAATAAAGGGATTTTCTATTCTATTCTTTTCTATTCTATTCTATTCTATTCTATTCTATTCTATTCTATTCTATTCTATTCTATTCTTTTTTATTAACAATCCTCTGATCATTGTAGCAGCCATGTGTCTCTCTTCAGTCTGCTTTCTGTCTCTAATTGAATGCAGGTCTTTTATACTCTTAGACACGTAAGGCAAAATGAGAAAAATATTTGCATCAACTCCTCCTTCTGGAAAAGACATGTATCTTGAT